GGATGGCGGGGGGGGGGGGGGGGGGGCGCAGGACAACTGTCCGCCCACTTCCTAGAGCAGCTCTGAACCCCATGGAGCTGAGACCTCTGCCAGGCAAGCAGGGAGCTGGGGACAGCCATCTGCCAACTCCCTGGAACAGCTCTGAGTCCTGTGGAGCTGGGAGCATCACAAGGCAGGTAGGGAGCTGGGGACAGCTGGTCTGAGAAGTGGGCAGGCAGCAGTCCCCAGCTCCCCACCCACACATGGAGCTCAGAGATAACCTGTGACCCCCTGCTACCTGGGCTAACCAGGAGCAATTTGCTCCCAGTCAGCATTTACGTGTGTGCTTTGGCACATGAGTTTAATGTGCTGTTTTCTAGTACCTGTATCTACGCGCATTAGACTAATTTAATTCCCAGAAATTGTCATGCATGTTGAAACACTGATGCTTTACTGTGCATTAGATTAGTATAATGCGCAGTAAATCATCTCATGTTGACCAATCCACTGTGTACGCAGTAAAAAATTATGTAGCCAATGTATGTTATTTCTGTGAAAGAATAAATGCATTTAATTTTTCATACTTTAGTTTTGTTTCAGAGTGATGCTTTCCATGACTTTTCTGGAAAAGTAGTTTGTGGTTTGCAGTTCACTGAAGTTCCTTTACAATATATGTTATAATGGATTTTCACTTTTACCTTAGTTCCTGAACTTTGATAGGTCTGGACATATTTCTCTCACTGCCTGGAGATCTATAGCATAAAACAGTCAACCACAGGCCTTGTTGTAACACTTAAGCATTCGTATTTACTTAGGTTAAATCTAGTGATAATAGTAAATGTTTTTTTTTTTTCTCTAGTGCCTGGAATATGGAAAGTGTAACTAAACTGTCAGCTGATAGCGCCATAGTGACAGAGTTAAAATAATGCATTTTTCTCTTTTTAAGGGCCGCAAGAGTGAGGCAGAGAAGTACTTCTTGAAGGCTATTCAGCTGGATCCTACCAAAGGAAACTGTTACATGCATTATGGTGAGTTTCAGATAGATAGGATTTCCTCATATATTCCAGGCTCGCTGTTAATCTCTCTGAATGATTAAGGATTTGAAAACTGCTACTGGCAAAATATCTCCTTTAAAGGAAAAAGCCTAACTTACCATGTAGAACTTCATCTCCATTTCAATTTGTTAATCGCAGCAAAGAGAGAGGTAGATATATTCATATTTTGTACAACTTTCCTCCTGGGAGTGGAATTTCAGAACTGCTCTCTCTCAGGAAAAGGGGAAGGTGAATATAGCCATATGTCAAAGGCTTCATAGTTTTGTTTGTTATTGTTTAACAGCATTGGCCTAGCTTTGCTTGCTGCCTGTGGGTGGGCAACTAAAGGTTATATTATAGCATGCTCCAATGCAGGACAGCTAAGTTTCTGTTTCCTATTGAGTAGTTATGGGCCATACATCTGCCTCCCTCCCAGATTCTCTGGCTTAAAATAGATAAGTATTATAAAAGGCTTTGACAAGTTTGGCTATACCTTCATAACACTAAGCCAATCATGTGTCTAAGTAATGCAAAGTATACAGTTAATTTGTATCATTATAGCTTTAGATTGTTTTTTGCTACATTTACAAAAAATATTTCCAGATGTGATTGGTCCCAAGAAACCAAAAATATTTAACTTTATGAACTGCCTCTTATTGTAGTTTAAAACTGATAACAGAAACGGCAGAAAATATGAGTTATATAGTCCCAGCTGGAAAATTTAGAGAGGGGAATAAATTTAATCTTAGTTGGGGAGGAAGGTGGGGAACCACAGGCATACAGTATATATTTTTGTATATTGTTTTAATTTCCTCTTCTGGTTCCAGCTAGCTTAAGTACGTGAACAGTAGAGATGGTGTACAAAAATTGAAATAATAAGAATAAAAGATAGGTAACCAGTTGCAATTTTATTTCTATCACTGTGCAGTTTCTATGAAATGTGCAGTCATATGCTTTTGAGTCTCATGCTTAATGGCTACAATAATCTGGTTGCTTTTGCATGGTGATCTGGTTTTGTTGTATTACAAAGTGGAGTACCCTACCTTCCTAAGGTAATACCTAAATATGTGAAGTTATCTGTCCTCATGAGAACAAATTTGTATATCCTATGCACATGCAAAGTCGCACATAAATGTTATGATCACAGAAACCGGTGAGGACAAATTCAGTGTTACCTCTCAAATTTAAAATGCTAAAATCATACATTCTACTGTAATGTTTCATAATTTTAGGTTATCCATTTAACACTACAGAAGATATCACCTGATCAGAATAAAATAGAGGAAAGCATTTTTTTTTTTTGCTTTGTAAAGGACAAATAATGTCCTCCATCCCTTTAGGTACAGAGGGCCCACAGAGGGCCCTTATTGCAAAGGATATGATTCATCTGTATAGATGCACTGTCAGAATTTGGCAAGTACTAGGGATAGACGGCTGTGAGTGTGACTAGTTATATCAGCAAATATTCAGAATAGCTCTTTGCTTTCAATGGTGTTTACTCCACATTTATATCAAAGCAAACTCAAGCTGAACTTGGCCTAGCTTTTGTATGGATTAGATATACCACACCACACTGGCATTCTCTAAAACCTGCAACCTGCCAAAACTGGGCAGGTGCTGTACTTATCCTAAAATTAGGAAAGGATTCTCTGGGGTATTTTTTTTCTTTGCTTATTCCACAGTCCTGGTAGGACACTCATAATATGTCCAGGAACATTCCAGTTATTAAAGATAAAAGCCAACAAGTTAGCTATACATCTTATAAATGTTAGAAATACTTACCTTTCCTTATTTCACTATTTCCTCCTTAATTTATCAATTTAAAATTAAATTAAATAGAGATTACGCTTTAGTTAATACTTAAGATTTCAATTTCTCATTTCTAACCTTAGCCTCTGGAAGTACTACTTGTTGTCTGCTTTGTACAGGATTATGGTAGAAGTCGAGAGAGATGTGAGGTGTTAATATATACATGTATATAGAAATCCCACCTTCCTCATATTTGCAATTACTTAATTGAAATGGGAGAGAAAAGAACCCAATAGGATGGTCAAATTACTTTGTTTGTATTAATTACCATTAAGACCTTCATTTAAATTTAGTTATCTTTGAATCATGCATTGAATAATCACTTAACTATTTTCTTTTTATAATAACAATAGATTAGTTTAATTAAATTAATTATACATTTACTTCATTAAGTAAATCACAATTCTTTTTCTTGCTTTCTTGGTGAAGTTCCACGTGTAGATTTTTTTGTTATACATGTACTTCAAAATATATATACATATTATAGGGCAGCAGTTATATGATAGCAACGCTGTAGCTAAAATTCTCAAGCTATAAAAATCATGATGTTATGCACTTGTTCTTACCATAAGGACAGAATGGAAGTTTATGCTGATGCAACTTATATCAGTTTTGCATGCTGATGTAAATTACACTGACATTAGAAATGGACAGATATGCAGCTACATAGGTGATTGAGGCTAGAAATAGATATCGCCAAATGAAGCAGATCAGCTGCGCCATCGTGTCATAGCACAGGTGATCCACCTCATTGGGAGAAACACACATTGGTCCTTGTGCCATCTTTGCAGGACAAGAGACGATGTGATCTCCCCACTTATGAAGAGGCAATCCAGAATCCGTCTGGTGCCTCTCTAAGAGTAAAACAGGCAGGTGCTTTGGGGTGGCTGGAGAGTAGGATCAGTTTAGGCTGTTCTACTTTCCCGACACTGAGGGAAATAATAATAGATGTCTTCTACAGTAAAGCAGTGGAGCCTACTACCTTTTATCATGCTACTCATTTTCCTTTGATATGCTGCAACACAGGATAACAACATCTATTAGGTCAGCATTTAAGCCACCATAAAAATGTTTATGGCAGTGCAAATGAGACATCAGGCTATGTCCCTTTTTGACCCATAGATATAACAACATATAAGTGTTACTATAGCATATCCCAATTAGGTGGTGGAGGTCTAGGGACTAACCTGCTTGCCCTGAGAAAGTGACCACCTGTCAGGGCAATTGATCAGGCATGCCTGGCTGGGCCAAGCACCTGTGTAGTCATACTAGCCCCTGATCCCTACCTAATATGACTGCCCCAGTTCCCTGCAACTAGGTTAGCTGCTGTAAATGCCACTTACATCCTGTAAGCACACTTATAGCCTCAGGCTGCAGGCACACTTTTACACAACCCCAGTCTGTTCCGGCAGTCCTTGCTCTCTGGTTCTCCTGGTGGCTGACTTAGCTTTGGCTTTCTCTGACCCTGATCTTGAATCTTCCCTGAACCTTTGTACTGGCCCTGTTTTTCTACTTTCCCTGGCGTCCTAACTCAGTTTGGATTCCTTGACTCTGATCTTGGATCTTCCTTGGGATTTGACACCATTTCTCTTGACTCCTGGCTTCTGACCTTGGCTTACACCTCAGACTACATCTCTTAAATATCCCCTCTTGGCTCTGGCAACCTGCACCCCTGCTGTGCTGACCCCCAAGTTACTCTTAGTGGGCCTATCATGGGCCCAGCTGCCTATGTTCTGACCAAATCCTCATGCTATCCTGGGATGAGCTGAAGACAGATGACAGTAACTTACACTGCTTTGGGTTTAACCCTGTTCTCTGCTTCCAGGTCATTCTACGCTGTATTCAACTTGCACCAAAATAGGGCTGTTCATTGTCTGCTTGTTTCCTTATTTACACCTATGTAAGCATGTTTGTGTTCTTCAGTAATGAGACATTACTTGGCTTTCTGATGCTGAATATCTAGGAATTGGGAGTCCTCTCAAAAATCATGGCATTTTATTTAGATTGTGTCCAACTTTTGGCAGCAAGGGTTGAAAATTGTGGCTATTAAGTTTTCAAACATAAGTTTATTTCTGAACATGCTTTATTAGTGGAAGAAGGGTTGCATCTTAGAGTTGCAGTGTACTCCTCTTAAAAGTTACAAAATCACACCTTCAGCCTTTCTCTACTATATCATTTTCAAAGAAGATTTTGGTTTTCTTCAGAAAAATTCTGTCTGGTTTCTTTATTATGTTGTTCAGAGAGCTGTGAGTGTATCAAAACCCAATGTCGGGGGGAGGGTGGAAAGAACTGAAGACCGTAAAGAAGATCACCAGTGATGTGATAATAAAAAACTGTGATGTATTTGGGGGAATTCTCTTGTTGGAGAGAAGATATCACCAAACCTTAAGAAAAATGACTGGTTTTCTGGTCAAAAGCCTAAAAATTGACTGCACATTTCATAATTCCACTGGATTGTTTGTTTCTGAATGTCAGATCAACTAAACATAGACTATCCTGAGTGAGCAACAGAACAAAGAACATGGATCTGTTCCACTGGGAACACCAGATGTTTCATAACAATGCATATTTGGTAACTGAATTCCCCATTGACATGAGCTTAGAGCCAGACAGATGCACTATGCTGATTAGCATACGTCTCTCCCAACATTCCTGTTCTACACCCGTGAACTTCTCAACCAGGGAAAGAAGTTCTCAGAATTTCAAAATGAAATCTCCACAAAGACTTAAAATGGCAGACATTACACAAATATATGGTGATATTTGGGGGGAAAATGCAGAATGTGCTTATCTAGTATTCAGATAATGAGTACTCTCAGAATATGTTCTTGCGTATGCAGTGTCTCTCACAAAGGAGTCCCAATTTCTGTGTGTAGCCTCCAGCTACTACTATAACACAAAGAAATATAGTTCAAGGAAGATGGGATTGCTGAGTTCCTAAACGTTAAATATTTTGAGAGATGTAATTGATAGTATAAAGATCACATTAAGCTTCCAACCTCCCTGCTCCCTGAACTGCCTTCAGTAACTTGATTTAAGAAAAGCTTTAGCCTCTCTGGTATAATATGAGAATACATATCTCTTTGTATTGAAACTGAAACCAAACAGACTAAGTGAAAGAATATCCCAATGTTAAGTCTTGTTTGCAAACAACTTGGCAGCTGTGAAGGTGATTCAGCATTTAA